TCTGTTAATGAGTTGAGGAAGAGGATGCTGAGAGGATGCCTGTACCAGATGGTTTAAGAGCGCTAAGTCTCTTGGTCACTAAGGTTCCTCAAGAGAATAAGAGCCTTGTGCTCTGGGAGGAAATTCCTGGACAGGAATCAAACATACCCAAGATCAAGGCTGTTCTCCCACTCTCTTGGTCTTACCAAGAGTCTCAAATTCTCTTTTGTAAAATGGAGGTAGTTGCAGCTTTCTTACCGGTTGTGCTGGGGAGGAAATTAGAAAATATAAATAAGAAACCAGGTGCTCACACTATAGACCAGACTGGCCTCAAACTCACGAGATCCACCTGCCTCTGCCTCCCAAGTGCTGGTTTTAAAGGTGTGTGCCACCACTGCCCGGTACATCTCCACCTTTTTGTTTTATCGTTTAGTTTTTTTGTTTTGTTTCGATACAGGGTTTCTCTGTGTAACAGCCCTAGCTATCCTGGAACTAGCTCTGTAGACCAGGCTGGCCTCGAACTCATAGAGATTCTCCTGCCTCTGCCTCCTGAGTGTTGGGATTAAAGGCGTGCGTCACCACTGCCTAGCTTTGGAAGTTGATTCATGAAGACAGCTATGAGCTCCAGACCAGCCTAGACTATAGTATAAAACTATATAAAAAAAAATTTAAAACCGGGGTGGAGGGGGACAATACAGGGGGTGAAGAAGGGAGGGGGGAAAGGAAAGAATATATGTGAAGCTCTGAAAAATTATATTAACAGAGAGTATTGAACTATAGAGAAAGTATTCAGATGGTCTCATAGGAAGTGTATGAATGTCAGATTTCATAGATCAACATGTGATTGGTAGATTAAGGTAGAAGAGCCTGGGGACAAGCTCTCACCTGGTTCTGTTGGAAGGCCCCTGACTTACAGGAATCAAGTGCTGATGCTAAGTTCAGGGGATAGCCAGGTCTTAAACGGCACGTTTTCCCCATGGGAAGGAAAAGGACCCACATAGAGTGGACCACGTGAGTACAGAGGGCATTAGAGAAGGTTGGCTAGAGCACTGAGACACCTGTTGTTTCCACAAAGACAGACTTCATCTTGAATCCAGTTTTCACCACCAAATTGTGACCTCATGCAAATATATTTTAACTGTGTGTGTGTGTGTGTGTGTGTATACGTGTGTGTAGAGGTCAAAGAATGACCTTAGCTACTTTCTTCAGATGCTATCCATCTTGGTTTTTGAGATAGCTTCTCTCATTGGTCTGGTACTTGTCTAGTAGGTTAGGCTGACTGGTCCATGATATTTACAGATCTACCTGTCTCTGCCTCTCCAGCCCATGCCCGCCTTTTAAAATTTGGGTCCAAGGGGATATAATTCAGGTCCTCAAACTTGCAAGCCAAGCACTTTACCAACTAAGTTATTATCCCAGCCTGAGTTTTAACCTTTCTAAGCCTCATTTCCCTCATCTAGTACAATAAAACAAAGTTTTCCTTGCTACCACAGCAATTACATGGCAGCATACAAAAAATGCTTTAGGATAATGCTATCCCTCCTTTATCAAGTGCTTACAGTGACTCAGGCACTGTGTAAGTGACACCCATTATGTCTGTATTTTAAGCTGAGGGAAGCAATGTTCAGAGACTTTAACTTCCCCAAGGTCATGCAGTCAGGCAGAGGTATAACCAGGACCCCACCCAAACCATCAGATTGCAGAGCCTACTCCTCATCATAGTGACCGTGGCCTCTCTAAATAAACATCAGCAGGAACTCAAGAACTGTTTGAAGATGGGAAGATGCTTCCTGGTTAGTTTATAAAGAGGTCTTCTGTTTGGTCATGGGGGTTAGTGCAATAGGAAGCAAGGGTAGAAAATCTGTGAGCAAATGGACAACGGTAGGAATGCCACCCATGTGCTCCAGGGTACTGGATAGGAATTTCTATAGGAAATAGATGTTTGAGACACTTGGAACGTTTGCATAACAAGTGTTAGAGAAGTGTGGTGATATTGACAATATTGGCTGTCAACTTGACAGAAACTAGAAACTCCAGGGAGACAAGACTCTGGACATACCTTCAAGGGACTGATTAACTAGATTAGTTTAAAAGAAAGGGAAAGACCCCTCCTGACTACATACAGGCAATGCCATTCATGGGCTAGAGTCCTGAACTGAATAGAAAGGAGAAATGAGCTGGTATTTATTTCTCTCTGCTTCTTAATTGTGGCTAGACACAATGTGACCAACTACCTCCAGCTCCTGCTGCCAAGGCTTCTTACTATAATAGACCCTACTTTCAACTGTGAGCCAAATATACCCTTCCTTAGTTCTTTTTAATAGAAAACATATGCTTTTAGGTATATTTAAAATTTAATTGAGTGTGTGTATGTGTGTGAGTGTGTGTGTGTGTAGCCCATGTTATATCTGACAAATGAAAGTCAAAGGACAACTTATGAGACTGATCTTCTACTTTGGGCCCTGGAAACTGAAATTGCATAGTCAGGAGTCCTTACCCACTAAACCACCTTGCAGACCCTTTTCTAAAGTTGCTGCTTGTTGGGTGTTTTGTCACAGCAACAAGAAAAGTGGCTACAACCAGAACCAAACACATTCTTAGCAAAGGAACGTAAGATACAAAAGCACCGGCGTGGAGCATCCCACTAGCGCTCACTTTGTGGAAGCACTGAGTGCATAAATCAAGGCTATCCAAGGCTTCCACACTTGTGGAAGGTGTGGGCAGATAACAACCACCATCCAACGTGCCTAGAACACTCTTCAGTTTCCATAGAATTCACGTGGCTTCTTTCTTTCCTTTTTTTTCCCTCCCCCTTTCTTCTTTTGAGATAGGGTCTCAAGTAGTTTCAGCTGACTCGTTATGTAACCAAGTCTGGCCTTGAACTCTTCATCCCACTTCTTAAATGCTAGGATTCTAGGCACATTCCACCATTCCAGCTTATACTGCCTCTTCTCTCTTTGGCCTTCACAAAAGCGCCAGGCAGGATAGGTGGTCCGCTGCAAGTGGCAGGCAGCAGAGGCAGCCAAAATGCACAGATGCCTTGAACAGCTGTGGTACCCAGCCCCAAACACAGGGCTTAGGAAAGGCCTTCTCTGTGAGGGAGGAGGCAGAATGTTTGCCCTGGGCTGGGCCTTTGGTTCATGATTCCCCAATGATGCCTCCAAATGGTTGCCTCTTACAGTAGTTGCTGTGAGGATCTAAGTCAAGGTCACTGAAAATCCCACTGCCCCTTCTGAAGGTAGCACCCCTCATCGGCAACCCCTCCCATGCAGAGAGCTTTTTCACAAAAGGAGCTTTTTCAGGACTCGCCACCTTAAATTTATTCTGCTATTTTTCTATAGGCAGCCAGGTTGGAAACCAAATCCTATCCTCTTTAGGCTGTAGGAGAAACATCAGAAATGACTGCAGTCACAATCTGCACCAGATTTCTCTCCATGGCTACGCTTCTAATAACAATGGAAAGCAAAGGCAGGAAAGGAAAAGGGTAGGAATGCGGCACTTCCAAGAGGCACCTGCAGCTCTGTAGAGAATACAAGGGGTAGAGTGGGGGAGTAGCTTTTACAGCTATGTGAGAATTCCTTGATGAGTAAAAGAGGAGTTTGATGTGCAAGATGACAGACAATGAAAGAGATGATGTCTCGCGGTATTTTCTTTGAAAAGTTGTGCTAGGCTTCCAAACACCCTGTACAGTACTGGAGGGCTAGATACAGGGTGGGCAAGGCCACAAAGATTTTGCCAAGTTGTCCACTGGTAGGCCCCCTAGCATTTACAAATGTCTCACTAACAGAATGCTTGTCAGGGCATTGAATCCAGCAGCAGTGTCTACCCACATATGCTGAATGCCATAGGGTTGAATGACGACTTCTGATGAAGAAAATCAGATTGGGAAATCATCTGAATAGTAAAGGCAGGGACATTTGCAATGGCTGGGCCTTGGGAAGTGGTTTATGGTTACTTCATGGCTGCGACAGCAGTGCCTTTTTAACCTGTCATTCATAAACAACAGCTCTGATATGCCAGTTCTTAGGTTTCTATGATCAGACAGACAGACTGGCACACTGTGAATGCTCAGCGATGTTCACAGCTTACTCACCTAGCTCCTATTTGTTAATAACCCCTATGCCAGACACAGAAGAAATAGGAATAAATGAGACAGTCTTTGGCTTAAGTGAGTTAGTCAATTCTTATTTATTTATTTATTTATTTATTTATTTATTTATTTATTTATTTTGAGACATGATCTCACTGAGTAGCCTTGGCTGGAACTTGTTATATAGAACAAGCCAGCACTGAACTCAAAGAGGTCTGCCTGCCTCTGCCTCCTGAGTTCTAGGAGAGACACATACGCTATTAAGAAGTATTCTCAACAAGGGGCAGCACAAAGCAATGGAATCTGAGTGGGCATAGTTTTACAGTTCTGAACTTTAACCTTAAAGAACATAACGTTTGTGGCTGGAGAGATGGATCAGCAGTTAAGAACCCTGGCTGCTCTTCCAGAGGACCCAGGTTGATTCTCAGAACCTGCATGATAATTCACTTCCAGAGGACCCAGATGCTTTCAGTAACTCAAAGCATCCATGACTCTAGTGTTGAAATAGGAAGCGGCGGGGCTGCGTCCCCAACACCCCAGCCGCTTGGCTAGCTCATGCCCGAAATAACAACACACAAACTGTATTCATTTAACTGCTTGGCCCATGAACTCTAGCCCTTACAGGCTAATTCTCGCACCTGGACTAGCCCATTTCTAGTAATGTTTGTAAGCACCCCAAGGTGCGCTTACTAGGAAGATTCTAGCCTATGTCCATCTTCATCGCGTGTGCCTCAGAGAGCAGAGCTATCGCGTCTACCCGGGAGAGCTGAGCATGGCGTCTCTTCGGGAGTAGAGCAGAGTCTGACCTCACTTCCTCTTCCGCCCAGAATTCTATTCTGTTTATTCCGCCCACCTATCTTTTAACCTATCAGGGCCAGCAGTTTCTTTATTGCTCAGCCAATGAAATCAACAGATTGATATGACACTCCCACATCACTCTAGTTCCAGAGCACCCAATGCCCTTTGCTGGCCTCTACGGGCACCAGGCTTCACAGACAAACATGCAGGCAAAACACTTACACTCTTAAAAAATAAATAAATCTTTTTAAAAGAAAATCATTTCAAAATAATTCATTTTTAAAGTATTTTTATATATTCATTCATTTTAATTGACATAGTGTTTATACATATTTATGAGGTACAGTATAATAATTTGATACATGCATGCAATTTGTAACAATAAAATCAAGGCAATTAGCATTTCCATTGTAAAGAGACTACATATTTAATAGGACCAAGCCATGGTAATCTATGCATGAGTGGAGGGTTGTAAATTCATCAACCTTAAAAAAAAAATAAAATCCACTGTGCTCTGACTGTGTATAGAGTACAGCCCAACATGCCTGCTCTTAGGCACTTGGTCCTGCAGGGACTTTTTTTTGTTCTTGTTTTTTGTTTTTCGAGACAGGTTTTCTCTGTGGTTTTGGAGCCTGTCCTGGAACTAGCTCTTGTAGACCAGGCTGGTCTCGAACTCACAGAGATCCACCTGCCTCTGCCTCCTGAGTGCTGGGATTAAAGGCGTGCGCCACCACCGTCCGGCTAGGGACTTTTTTTAAAAATTAATTTATTTATTTAATATGTATACAATATTTTCTGTGTGTGTATGCCTGCACCAGACCCCATTACAGATGGTTGTAAGCCACCATGTGGTTGCTGGGAATTGAACTCAGCACCTTTGGAAGAACAGGCCATGCTCTTAACCTCTGAGCCTTCTCTCCAGCCCCTCCTGCAGGGACTTAAAGAGACAGATAATTAAAGTGTAACAAGATGAGGCCTGGACAGAGAGCATAGAGGAATGGCTAATTCTCTGGGGGAAACACACACACACACACACACACACACACACACACACACACATATATATATATATATATATATATATATATATACACACTCATGTGTTAGATCTAGATGTTAAAACCTGAGTTAGAGAGTACACACCAGCACATAGAAGAGGAAAAGCCAACACATTGAAATACTTTGAGATGAAGTAAGACATGTGAGTGGGTTTGTTGAGTGAGCCTGAATATATCACCTACATCTCTGGACCTCAGTCTCCTTGTCTGGTACTCTGAAGGTTTGGCAATGGCCATCCTCATCTTGTAGGCCAGAGCATCATGAAGATTCTAGTTGTAACTTTTGTCTCCCAGGACCAAGCCTGGTCTTGTCCCAGCCCTAAGGCTTCCTTGACACCTGCTAATCCAGACTCCAGAGATGTTACCTCTGAATTCTGGTACCAGCCTGTGGAGTCCACTGAAGTGCATCTGCTCTCCTGGGTGCTACTTGCCTCCAGGCCTACCGCATTTGTGCTTCCTCTAAAGACCTTCTGGGATGTGAAGCAGGTTGTTCCAACTCCGCTAGCGCGCCTGCCTTTTGCAGCCCTCAGCCCTCCTTGTATGTGGGTGTAGCAGTGGCCTCCCCAAATCAGCACCTCTGTGACAGGAAATACAGAAGAGCAACCATTAGAACAAATTAAATGATTCCTTTGTTAAAATTTATTTTTTTAATTAATTTTTTGTATACTAATCCCAGTTCTCCCTCCTCTCCTCCTGCTTCTCCCTTCCTCCCACCCAGTGTTGAAATTTAAACAATTTAAGACTTCTAATTGTGCTGTAGAGAGTTCTCATGTACTACCTTTCAAAGACAAAAGGCAAATGGAGATACCAGAAGAGCCCTCACTGAAATTCCATTTACAAGTCACTTAAAGGACCTTTAAAATAATTTGTGTGCCCGGGAAATGTCACAGCTCAGACTGATATGCCCTGCACCACCTAACTAGGCAAGAGCCAGATCAGGTCCCCTACATCCCCTTCCACTGTTCCTCTGCCCTGAGAGCCTCTGCCTGACAGAGCTCGGCTTTGCCAACTGAGACCAGATCTACCCAGGCTACTTTTATTCTAGGGCCAGAAGAGCCTGAAGGAAAGTCCCCCTCCCCCCAGGTGATAATGAGCACTTTCTGCCTTGCCAGTGCCCACCATTGCCAGATGCGGACGCCCTCTGGAAAGGGTTTGGTGTCCCTCATCTCTCAAGAAGCAATGAGAGCATCTCCTGAAAGCGGCTTGCTCTCTCCTTCTCCAGACACACAGGACTCCTATTCTGGAGTTGGCAAACAAAAATCAGCATCAAGCCTTTAGAACTTTTCTATAGAGATGAGTAGGGCCAGCTGAGAGAAGCTGAGCTGCTTAGAAACTGAACACAGACAAATTAAAGCACTCCATGGCGGCAACAGAAGGCAAACCAGTGGAGTGAGAAACAAGATGTCTCCCTTCCACACTGCTGCAGGAAAGCAAAGAAGTCACCAGCTGCGGCTCAAAAGTCACAAAAGAAAGAAAATGCAGGAAACACAAAACACACTGGCAGGAAGCCACCCAGATTGTTGGTTACAACAATCAGTATAAGCATTTAACACTCTCCTGGTGGAAGACAAAGGTCCCTAGATTAAATTAATACAAGAGACTTACCTGAAACAAAAACGGCTGCGGGGTAGGCAAAGCTATAGCAGGTAAATGCAAACAAAAGAAAAGCAGGAGTAGCTGGATCAGACAAAGCACAATTTAAGGCAATAAGCAGCATCAAGCAGCATAAAAGGGTAATTTCATATTCATAGAAGCAATTGTGAAGGCATTACTGTTCTGAACATTTGTACACTCAGTACCTTATCATCAAAATATGTGAGGCAAAGGTCTGTCGCCAGTACAAGAAACTGGCCAAACGACAGTCGTGGGTATAAATTTACATACTACGCAAGCCTAACATCAAGTAACCAAAACATACATGAAAATAGAAAGGAGTGGTATAATTAAGAGTGAATTAAAAGGTGATACTGAGTTTGATGTGGTTGGAATGATAGTTGCCGTGTTTCAAGAGACTGCTGTAGATTGATACTTATGACTGTTAAATTTAGTGCACATTTTACATACAGTGTAATTATGATTGCATTTAAAAATCCTAAACCACCAAAGAGCCACTGGAAGAAAATATACCAAAATTAACATTTGGTGTGTTTGGAAAATTAGAATTGAGACATATTTATTCGTTCCACTTTTTCTTCCAGTGTTCTTTAATGCTAATATTCTATGTTTAAAAATTACTTTTAACCCAGGCAGTGGTGGCGCACGCCTTTAATTCCAGAACTCAGGAGGCGGGAGGCTGAGGTGGACAGATCTCTGTGAGTTCAAGGCCAGCCTGGTCTATGAGAGACAGTTCCCAGGACAGGCTCCAAAGCTACAGAGAAATCCTGTTTGGANAAAAAAAAAAAAAAAAAAAAAAAAAAAAAAAAACTTTAAAGACTATTACACAGAAGTCTGGGCAGGCTAATATACCTAACCCTCTGGGCAGGGCCAGGTCCTTGGGTCACTCTCTGTTTGGAATGCTGTATTTTTTGCCCTGAATGCTTTATTCCCCTACCTTTGTTCTCATGCCTCAGTGTGTGTGTTCCACCCCTGCATCCTGCATGGTAATAGCTCGCGTGACTTTTCTAAATGTGTAGGTTCCTGTGCTTGACCCTTCTGCCTGTGCTTCAGATGTAGCTCCTCTCTGTATGCTAAGGACTCCTGAATTCATCTCTAGCTCCAAACTCATTACAGAGCTTCTAGGGTGTGTTGTACATCAGCCTGTAGATTGGACCACTCCTGTAGATGGGCAGGGATGGTGGACATGCCTGCAGACAGGTCTCTTTGAGGACCTGAAGGTAGGGAAAGGGGATTGAATTTGAGACAGGGATGCCCCTGTGGGTGGCAATGAGAACATTTAGGCATTCCCAGTCAGGTGGAAAGGAAGGTTCCCACGAATGAATCAGAATAAATCACCGCCCACTCTATGCCATCCAAAAATGAAACCTATGGCTCTCTCTGACTTGCACGATTACATGAACTAGGTTATTGAAGTAATCAAGAAAAGCAGCAAGGTTGGGTTTTAAAAGCTGCCGCAGTACTGGAGAGACTATGTGAGTTTCCTTCTGCCGACCATACATATCCAGCTGACAATTCAAAAACCAGATCCTGCCTTGCTGCTGAGATTCACTGGCTCCTGGTCTGGCCTCCTGACTTTTCAGGGCAGAACACAAAGTCAGTAAATACTCGAAGGTTTTTAATCTACCAATAAAATGAGTGAGGGTTTAGCCCAATTTATGTGGCATGTTAATTCAAAGGCTTTTATAACTACAAGTTAGTCTCTTTGAAAGAGCAAAAATAAACTTTACTAATTCTAAACATATATTCTTATCAATTTCAACTCAAAGTACATACTCTCATTGGAATGCAAATTACTTTGAGTGCTTTCTAAAATTATTATATATAATTTCTCTTCCCTAGACTAGATTGTTATCCAGTTAAGCATTTTATTTTGGAAGGCAAAATGTTCATGAGACCACTCTTTGGGGAAAATGGTTTCATGAAATCCTATACAGCTATCTGGTTTCAGAGAAGAGATGTTGCTAAGAAACCTCTAGCATGTCGCTTGACTTTTCTAATTCACAGCCTCCTCCTTAAACATGGAGAAAATAGTACCTACCATAAAAGACTCAACACAAAAGTCATATTTCTCAGTAATGAGCCTGCTACAGCGGCTGTCTTGCTGCAAGAGCTCAGTAAACAGTGGGCATTCTTACATCAAACGGTAGTTTCCAGTCTTCCCACTCCAGCCTCTGTGTGTGATAATTCAGAATCCATATGGGGAAAGGCCCAGGTTTTTCCCGTCAGGACAGCTCCAAGTTCCTGTCCCTCGCAGGAAGCATACAAAGGCACTGATTTTTACAATCATTGATGTAACTGTAGGAAAAATCCCAAGAATCTGCTTATTCATTTTGATTAAATTACTTCCAAACTTTATTGCTTTATCATCAGTAACAAATAAATGTCTAATGTCTAAAAGACAAGTCTCAATTACTCAAGAGCCCATTTCCATTAAAATAGATGTGGAATAACTTCTTTGGAAGTCAGCGGTCCTAGCAGTCCCCTGAGTGGGTGGCTCCAGGGGGCCTGCCTCCTGCCACAGACTCTCAAGCAACTGGGTACTACAGATCACAGTTTCTTTCTTACTCCCTCAAACCCATCTTCTCACTGGTACAATGCCTTGCTTTTGGCTGACAGTTAGTACATGTTTTATGAATAAATGCTCCCTCCCTGTACCGGGACTGACAAATGTGCATGATGAGCCAAATCGGGTCAGATGACCTGGCTTCCAGCAATAATATGCACAGAAGGCAAATGATTAAATAATGCATGTCTATCCACTCGACACGACATTCTGCAGCCACTGGAAATGATGCTCTCGAAGACTCAAAGGCCACATGGAGACACATCTAACATTAACTGAGTAAATAGACCATAAAGAGTGTCCTGGTATAGCCGCTCTGCACATGGACCCAGATTGAAGGGGAAGGTCAAAAAGAATATGACTGTGAGAAGGATGAGGATTCTATATGACACGTTTCCAAATCTCTTCTGCATTGTTTTTATAGTAACAGTGCAATGGGCTGGGGACAAAACTGAACATTAGCCTAGGGCTTCCCCATAGGCACGTGCCCAGATTCAATATACAAAATTCAGAATGAAGGCTGAGGTGCCAGATGGAGAAAGGATGGGTGAGCCACAGTCCATTCAGGAATGAAAAGTGGACATGACCCAAAATAGCTGCCATGCTCAGTTTCAGTGTCTGAATTAATCCTCCTCTTAGTTTATTGACGCCTATGAAATTGATTCTCACCACAGAATTGCAACTCGTAGCCCTAGCATTGAAGTCAATAAAAGGCATGACTAAGGAGGCAGGGAAAAGCATCTGCACCAAATATACGGAAGGGAACCACAGTGGCCTTTTATGTGTTTACGTTTTATCTCTGAAGAAAATGTTCCTATGCATTACTAGAGATGAAAAGAAATTACGATTAGCATGCAGGGAAGCGTAAGAGATGATGCAGATGTCTTACTGCCTCCCCTGTGTTCTAACTGAATACCAGAGAGCAAGTAATTTACCAAGAATAAAGGTTTATTTGACTTATGGTGCTGAAGTCTGGGAAGGTCAGGATTAGTTGGCCACATCTGGTAAGGTCCTTGTTTGGAGGCACTTTCTGAAGAGTCCCAGGGCAACATAAGGTATCATATGGCAAGACAGACAATTCTAGTTTAGGCCTTTTCTCTTCTTAGAAAAGCCACAGTCCCATTGGATTAGGGCCCCACCCTTATGGCCTCATTTAATCTTAATTACCTCCCAAAGGTTCATCTCATTTAGATCAAGTTTCCACCTTTCACAATGGGGGTTATATTTCAAATGCGTGTTGGTGGGGATGTTCACCCCACAGCAGAGAACAGATATTGGTAATGGGGAACAGAAAAGAGAGGCCAGCTACTACTGCTGTCAGATGGAAGCTGACCTTGGATGCGTGGCCTCCTCTACATTCACTGCTGGATTTCCAGCTCCACGTTGTTCTTTTCCTCACTAGAGATCTAAATTTACTCCTCTTTCCTAAGACAAACCCACTTGTTGGTTCCAGGAGCAGTTTGCTCCCTCAGAAAAGAATAGAGGTCTTATATATACATTCATTGCTAGGACAGGTCACACATCCATTTCCTCCTAGCTGGGTTACACTTGATCATGTTACTCCCCCAGGCCCAGAAGACAGGGCTGTGGTGCCTATTGCTGGTACCCAAGCTCTTACTGAAACAGAAATTACTGTGTTCCTGGATGTGCAGGAGTCTTGAGACCCAGTGCCCTCAGGACTCCCCAGATCCTTTCTGGAAATGCAGCCCAGCACAGTAGTTTCTATATCACAATGGGGACTTATTGAAATTTTTAGAACCACATTGCTAAACAAAAGAGTGCTAAGCAGTTCTGAAGCCCTGGCTAGTTCCTTGCTTGGAAGTACTGATTATACAGAGCTTTGCAGTATCTTACATGACAGGACTGAGCCCGTCTAAAAAGGCAATAGGTCTTGGCTTTGATATCCTGGAGCCCAATCACCAGCAATCATGCTCCAGGGTTTCTACATCCACCTCTGAGTAGGCCAGAACCAACTCTAGATCCATAATGCTGCAGTTACTTAGACCCTCACAAGTCTTTCCTGTCTTTTACACACAGAGCATTATCCCCACATGATAGCCAAGTTTGGTTATATCACTGAGACTCCCCCTACTGAGTCAGTCTGGTCTGCTTTGCTCATAGTTAAAACTGTCCACTTAGATAGTTTTTTTCCCAATGGTAAAGATTCAACCCAGGATCTTGAGCATGCTAAGTAAGTATTCTACCACCAAGCCACAGAACCCTCTGCCCTCTGCTGGAACCTTCTGATGTTACTGTAGTTCTCAAACTCTAGAAACTGATGGGTTGTAGCCTTTTCTAGGCTCCAGACATCTTGATGTGGCATAGTTATCTGTGTCCAGGTTTGTTTCTCTCTCCAGGCCAGAGAGCAGTTGTGACCCTTTTTAGCTCCTAGTCCAGATCCTGGCACAAGTGAAAGGTTCTACAACATGGAAACCTCAGGCTTGCCTTTTGTAAAATAAATAAATAAATAAATAATGCTCTAGCTCTTCCTCCCATAGACAGACACAAAAAAGCAGGGGTTAGATGTTGCTTCCTAGCATGACTTCCTGGAAAGCCCTTTGCTCTCTATGACCATGTTTGCTTGCTATTTACCTCCTGACCTTTAAAGCCCAGACTCGGGATCATCTGGGGACAAAAGGATAATCCCTGTTCTCCTTTGAAAGTCCAAGCAACAAGTCCTTTCTGGAGCCAGCCAGCCAGCCCCTTCTGCTATTGCACCTGCTCCCTGCAGATGTGCAGGGAAGGGAGAGGGAATTCAGTTTGCAAACCAGAGTGCCAGTGGTTGCATGAAGTGACCTGCATTGCTGTTCTACTGCAAGGGTTGCCTCTAACATACCCATCAAGCACTAGTCCAAGTCTTTCCGATCAGACACAGTTTATTGCCTGCTGCCTCCTAATGCTTTTTTTCCATGGCCAAATCTTCCCGGGCAATGCTCACAGAAGCAAAAGAGCCTTCAAGCTGGAAAATCTTGGGCCATTAGCTGCTGTAAGTGGAATCAAGTGAGTTTGTCTCCACGGTGATGTTTATTTTCTTGCTCTTGGGATGAGACATAGGCCACTCAGATGCACCAAAGCAAACAAGGAAATGGGATGTGGTGAAGGTGGATACTAGTATGGGAAACCCAGGGAACCTGGCAGGAGGAATGGAAGTGACCCTGTCTGAGGCCTGGTGTTCCCTCCTTGAAGGCCTGCCTTATCTTTCCATTGTTTTCCTGGGCCTTGAGCCTGGGGGAACACAGGGATCCTCAAGTGAACCCATCCTATACCTGCCCCCGCTTTCTAAGCCCTTCTTCTCTCTTCTGTCCTGCCTACACCTCTCTTTCCTTTCTCTGATTTAATGTCTCAGCTCCCACATTTGAAGTGTTGATGACTGCTCCCAGTGCATCAACACCCCCTACCCCAGTCATTTGCAGTTCCCCATCCAATCCTGGCTTTGAAATTTGGTTGCTGAGTGAACCTAGGATACCTAAGCCTCCCCACCTGTAAAGTGGGAGTAATTGTATCAATATGTGGATTGATAAGAGTACAATTAAAAACACAAAGTATTTTAGAGATAAACAACCTATAAACATAGTTATTACTGTTGTTTCTGTTATTAATCAACTCCAGCAGCCTGAGGCTGACACTGAGTCTGTAGGGAAGGTTGAAATGTGTGCACATGGCAGGGTGGGAAATAAGTGCGCTGATGAAACAGCACTAAGTAGCTGTGCCCCTTGGCCTCTTGGGGTAGTTCTATTCTGAGCAGTTCTTTCTCTCACCATATTGATTTTAAATCAGTTGTTAAGAGCTTTCCATTGTTTCACAGCTTTTTGGAATATGTCTCCCTCACATATGCAGTAGTTACTACTGGCAACTTCCATCGATGAGTTACTTGTATAGGAGCCAAGTTGCAGGGGTGAGCTACCAGACTAAGGAGAGATCAGCTTCAGACTGCCCTAGGGAGACTCATAGAAGCTTCTAGGCATGGTCAGGAACTGGTTGTCAGCATGACCTGGGTCAGCCAGTACACCACTTTTCCTTTGTGTCCGGTTTTTATAATGACATAGCACATGGGGTTGTCAAAGATCAGACGGGGTTATCAAATCAATACTCACTTTCCTGTTGGTGTACTCGTGTCTGACATCCATGCAGCCTGCTTAGATGCTGGGCAAATGTCTTGATTCATGTAAAGATTCTATTTTGAACTGAGCTGTGCCTTTATAAACATGAAACAGGATTGATGCTGCAATAATTCAGATGATCCGCTGAGCCTTTATTATATTTTTACTTTTTTTTTTTGGCAAGAAAAGTAACAGCTCCATATTTTTACTTTTGTTCTTTCTTAAATTTGAAGTTTAATTTTTCTTGAGGAAAATATGGCCCACAATCAACATCAGAGCTCCCTCCTCCTCCTAGTTAAAACCACTCACTCAGCATGCCCTGAGCACCTTTCACACGGCCAGGCTCTGTGGTAGAAGCTGGGTGTCCATGTGTTTGACTGAGTTCCCTTCAGCAGGGCACAAGGGAGAGAGTTGGCAAACCCAGGTCCCAGCTCTTCAGGAAAGTGTTCCTCTACTTCTCCTACAGTGGAAATACGTATTCTCCATGTTTCCACCACCTAGTACCAACCTGGCCTGGCTTGGCCATTCACCTACCAGCCCCTCCCCCTGCAGATTCACTCATCTGCCTACTCTGAAAAACTTAGGGTTAGCTTTGAGACTTGCCATGGGCTGGCATTGTCCCGTCAGTCCCTCCAGCACACAGTCACTTTCAGGCTCCAGAGCTGCCAGATGCCCCCGTGAGCAGCTTCATTTGTGCCACTCCTCTTCCCTGCGCAGTGTACCCCGGCCATACAAGTGTCGCGCTTAGAAAACACCTGCCAGTGGGTAAACAATGAGTTGGCCCAAGATCCCTTGACTAAGCCAGAAGCAGAGGTCTAAGGTATCAGACTAAGGCCCAAGGGAGAAAAGCCAGAGCCTGTTTGTTTGTAGTGTTCCATGCCTAGGTAAAGTCTTCAGCCTCGTGGAGCAGATCACAGGGTAGGATGAACAGATGATCTTTGAAATCTCTTTTGTGCCTTGAGAAAAACTAACTTGAACCAATGATTCACTGCAAGGGGGAGATCTTGCAGTGGATTGTTGGGAAAATCAATGAGATAGTAACTTTGAACACTTGTGCAAAACCCTATTCATGATTCTAACAAAAATCCTAGAAAGCAGAGTAGGGCCATGGTAAGGGACAATGGTGAAAAAGTCAAGACTTTTTAAAAGCTGAACAGAATCACTAAAAGCCTTTGCTTTAACTTTCTCCTCAATGGGAGAACCATTGCTGGACAGCCAGACTCTGGGAAGTCAGAAGCTTGCCCAGAGCTCCCTGGAGGTCAAAATAAATAGAAGGCATATATATATTTATAGGAGGCAAGTTTCAGCCCTCTCAGATCTGTAGCCAAGGAGAAAAATTCCCCTCATTTCTTCTCCAGCTCTCAGCAGCAGCAGACTGCAAAGAACTCCTGAGTAGGAGGGGAGCTTCATCTTTGCCAGTTCTTCGCCTGGGCAGGCCCTCAAACAGCTGGGCTCTATTTTTCTTTCAACAGCAAATGTATTTTCTTTCTCTGAGCCTTGTCTTAGTTTCCTCCTGCATACTTTTCCAGCTCCTGACTTTGAGGAGCTCTATTCCTCAACCTGGCTCGACATATGCAGCTTCTGTGGTTCTGGAAAAAGGGAGGGATTGGTTCTCGCTCTGTAAAAATAAAAATAAACCTCCTCTCTAGCGCAAAATAAATTTCTCCTGCTGAGAATTTCTTCTGGGGTTTAATGATGATGAGAAATTTTTTTCACCTTACCATTTCAGAGGACAGAAACCTAGTCTTTATTCAATTAATGCTGCTTTTTTTCTTAAAACAAGGTCTCATGTATTGAGACCCAAGCTGGTCTCAAACTGGATTCTCAACAAGAATGACCTTGAATTTCTAATCCTCACGTCTCCGTCTCCTGAGTGCTGGGATTATAATTGTGTATCACTGCCCAGATTTTTGTTTTATTGTGTTTTTGATGTCTGTTTTAAGACAAGGTCTCATTGGGTAATTTAACTCTTACTGGTCTGGAACTTGCTATGTAGATCAAATTGGTCTTGAACTCACAGAAGTCACCTGGCTCTGACTCCCAAAGCAGATTGGCTCTGTCTCATGGTCAGGAAGTAAAAATCTCTGTGGTATTACCTCCAGATAGTCACTGAGTCCTAAGGATCTCCTTTCTTTCTTTCTTTCTTTCTTTCTTTTTTTTTTTTTTTTTTTTTTTTTTTTTTTTTTTTTTNTTTGATTTTTTTATTTTATTTTATTTGTGGGTTTTTGAGACAGGGTTTCCCTGTAGCTTTGTTTGGAGTCTGTCCTGGAAACAAGCTCTTGTAGACCAGGATGGCCTTGAACTCACAGAGATCCGCCTTTGCCTCCCAAGTGCTTGGATTAAAGAAAGGTGTGTGCCACCACCGTCCAGCTGTAGACCTCCTTTCTAAATTAAAATTCTTTCTCTCTGCTTCATTGCCACCGCTCTGTTGGAAGCCCGTCTTGCTTTCCCGTCTCACTGTCAGCCCCTGCCTCTGCCTTCCCATCATCACATTTGCTTCTAGGACCATGCTGAAGCACACCTGTGGCCACATCCTCTTTCCCTCTGGGACTCCCTACATCCTCAGGTAGAGGCTTAAGCTCTTTATCCAGAGTTAAGAATTCTCTGCCCGCCTTTCAATAAGCCTCAGGCAGACAGAGCCGCGTTAAGTAAGTGGAAGATGACAGAGGGCAAATCTGAGTCTGAGGGAAGAACAGGGAGGGGAGTAGGATGCAGATGGTGTTTCAAGGATGGGTTGACACCAGTGATCCCTGTATACAGATGCATTTGGCCTTGACATGCTGGTGAACCCCGAAGTGCAATTGGGCCAGCATATGGGCACCAGGTAGGACCATTGGTATGGTTGTAACTCAAATAGGAAATGGCTTCTGAGATCTGGTTGCTATACAAGTGAAAGAACAAGAAGAAGTCTACTCTGCAAATGATCGTGGCTAGGAATGGGGAATACCCACTGGATTGACTGGGCAGAAGGCCATGATTTGCTGTGGGGGGTGATTTGTTCTCTTTTTGCAGCAGCTGAAGACATATAGAGTGAGCCTAGGGCCACCATCGAGCTGAGTCACCACCACAAAGCTTAATTAATGCTCGCAAAGCACTCTGGGGCCTTGACGGAGAGGCTTCACATGAACACAGAAGATCCTTATTAATCACTGTGGCAGCCCCAAGTGGGGTGGCCTAGGGGGCAGCTGCCTCATGCACAGAACAATGGATGGTTAAATTGTGATTTTGAAGAGCAGTTCTGATCAACTGACTGGAAAGCAGCTTAGCTCAGAGGAGGCAGGCCCTTCTGGAAGCCACTTAACTCACCTGGTCCTTATCGGCCATGCATTAAGTAGAGGAATAAAACCTCCATCCCTGCTGTGCATGGATAATGGAAGGACGGTTGGGTAGTAGTGAAGCATCTCTTCTAAGCCTTTCCAAGCAGGCAAGTGGAGAAACTTAGAGACTCAGCATCAGGCTGGATATCTTTAGGTGCATCCCTCAATCTCTCTGAGCCCCAGTTTCTTTATCTAGAAAGAAAAATAACCGAATAGCTAGCTGTTCCTGTGCAGGATTATGAGATTAAAATGATCTTCAGATGAAGTGGCTTGGTCTCTGTGCTAGTTATTCTTGCATTGCTGAGACCAAAATGCCCAGCATAACTGAAGGGAAGAATTATTTATTTAGGCTCATGGCCTCAGAGGGCTCCCTAAACTGTATGGCTCCATATGCTTAGGCAAGACTTCTTAGTGGCAGGAATGAGACAGAGAGTGTTCTTCACTTCATGGCCCAAGGAAACACAGAACTGAGAACCAGGTATAACCTTCAGAGACAGCCCCCCCTAGGATCTGTTTCCTCCAACTAAAACACACCTCCCAAAGGTTCCAGAACTTCCCAAGACAGTGACACCAGTTGGGGACCAGGTATCCAAAACATAAGACCATGGAGGATAGCTCATATTCAAATAATAACTGTGCATATAGTAATGATAAGAGTAAAACACATAGTAATTGTAGTAACTGATGTAATAATAACAATTATAGTAATAATAACATCAGTGACCAGAATAGCAATAATAATATCAATAGCAAATATACACACTGACCTGTGTCGGGTACTCTTCTAAATATATTCCAATAGTTAGCTACTTTGAGATTATTTTTACTTTTAATTATATGTATGTATGCTTGTGTGATTGTATTGCATTAAGTACCTGTGAATGAAGTTACCTGCAGAGGCCAGAAGAGGGAGTCAAAGCCCCTGGAATTGGGGTTACAGTGACATGGGTGCTGCAGACCAAACTCAAATCCTCTACAAGAGCTGCAGGTGCTTTATTGGCCCACTCTCCGCTGCCTTTATTAGCACTGTCACCTATTTTAGCAATCAGGCTTCATTTGTCATTGTTGCAGGGTGGTGGTGACACACGCCTTTAATCCCAGCATTCAGGAGGCAGAGGCAGGCGGATCTCTGAGTTTGAGGCCAGCCTGGTCTACAAGAGCTAGTACCAGGACAGCTAGGGCTGTAAAACTAAGAAACCCTGTCTCAAAGAAAAACAAATAAATAAAGAAAAAAGAAAGAAGGAAAGAGAGAAAGAAAGAAAGAAAAGAAAGAAGGAATGAAGAAAAGAACAATTGTCATTATCATGGTCCTTATTACATGGAATAAAAATGCTGGGCTCTAGGGCCTCTGTGCTTGGGGTCAGGGAAAGGGAAAAGCCTCTGGACATCTTTGATAGGAAAGAAAGGAAGTTATTGCTGTAAAAAATCATCAAAACTCTGGAGTGTTGTCCTCTTTTTTAATCATTGCTGCCTTTTAAGCTACAGCTATCCTAGTCAGCAACTGCAGCTCAACCACTACCAGCAGCGGCTAGACAGCAAGAGCTGCAGCCTAAGGAAATTCTCTTCCCCCAGGCATCCACTCTTTCAAAGCTACTAAGAGAACTTATCTAAATCTCTGTCCCGCTAAAGAACTCAAGATTCAAAGGTGGAGGTAGAAGCCTGCTTTCCAGAGAGCTGAATAGCAAATGGCTCACCTAGCTCACCTCCTTGTGTCTCCAAGAAGTCCTCCTGCTTTTTCTCACCACTCCTTATAAATCCTTCACCTGGCTCCTCCCCACCACTTCCTGTCAGCTAGTTGCTGACGCAGCCTCCAGAACGCAGGTGAATTTTATTTAATCAAACACATCTTTGCATCATTAAATATATGTTCCAGAGCATTTTAAAATAATGTTCTGTAACATTGGAGGTGCAAGGAAATTGTAGGAAGCTGGCGTCCTAGAGAAAAGCTGTCAATGGGTGCTAAAAGGTATGAAAGACAGCCCTAGTCTATCCTTTCCCTCATCTAATACTGAAAAGACAGCATCCCACAGCTGGGAGACAAGGAGTTACCTGTTACCCTGGTTACTCAGGCATTTCCAAAGTTCCTGCACTGATTGATTTCCCCCCAAAGGAAGATCTGAGGCCCAACCCTGAACCCTCGGTTTGATTCCTTGCTCTAGCTGCATCCCAGAACTTCAATCAGCATCTGGATCAGGACCCTAGCTCCAGAGCTGTCAATCTCTTGCAGAACTTCTTATCTCCTCGGTAGCCACAAAAGGTCTGATTAGCTCCTCCCACACCCACCTGACCCTTCCTAAACCAGCCCCAGAGGAGTTAAGGAAGCTAGGCATAACTAAATGGCCCAGCCAGATAAATGCTAGATCCCCTAGGCACATTCCAGTTCTTTGCTACTCTCACCTATTCTGAGGCCCCAGACCAGATTTGCCCACGTGTTACCCCCTTCCTCATTCTGTCCAGGTACCTCTCCTTCATCCTGCCCTAGACCTTGACCTCATCCTCAGCATTCTGCAACCCCCACCATCCATCTCTCTACACAAGAAAGGTGCAACCAGCAAACCCATTCTACACCCGACATAGGGCTTGTTCTTTGGTCTGGACCCATCCCTCAAAAGACAAGAAAGAATTTGGCCATAGTGGCACACATCTGCAATCCCAGCACTCAGGAAGCAGAGACATAAGGTTAAGTTCAGGGCCAGCTTACATTACATAGTGAATTCCTGTCTCAAACAAAAAAAGAAAAGGGAATTCAGTTCTAAACCCATCTTTGTATAAATTAAAGACTATAGTTCAGGCTTATCTGGGACACAGGGGGACAGAGCCAGAGATAGACTGACTTTCAAATTAAACAGAAAAACCCTTCCTGAACCACCTGCCCTTTGGAATGGCCTTCTCAAGGCACTACTCTGATTCTGAACTGGCTCTCAAGGTGTAATATGTAGCGGGCACATAGTCTGCTACTGTAGACTATAAAATACATAGCATTCTCTGTTGCCTTATGGGGAGCATGTCTCTATCAAGAAAGTAAGTCTTTCACCCTAGGAAAGAGCTCAGCTTTAAAAAATTTAGTGCAATGCTTTTTATATCAGTGGGTTATATTTAAAGCATTCAAAGGCCTAGATTTGCATCTACTGCATTTGACTTAGTCAAATTATTCATCATCCATCTCTCATGTACAACCCTCTTCTCATTCTATGAAACCTCTGTTTACATAGAGTTTAAGTTTCTTCTAACCAAGCTGATAATTTTAGACCTTATCCTGCCAAGTACCTGGGACTAGTGCTACCATGTCTGGCTCTCCTGCTGGTATTTTAAATGTGTCCAAGCTCACCAAGCATCGCCATTGGCCTTTCTATTGCAGGGCCTGGACATCTTTCACTTAAGAGAAAGGGAAACCAAACAGGCCAGAAATGCATCTTAGCAGACAGCAAGCACTGGATAGGACAGGAAGAAAGAAGGAGGGAGACCCTTCTACATAGTAGAGCAGTTTCTTGAGAACATGATTTATAAACAATTATGAATGTCAACCATTTATTGATTACTTGATAGGCATAAAGCAGTGCATATTATATTTCTCTTCCAAACAACCCCATTGTAACACATACACACCAGGCTGAATCAACAAATTGGGAGTAGCTACATCTTGGCAAATGTCCCTAATTTATATCGAGTAAACATACCTGTCTGACACCACACCCCCATAGCTATATGTGTTTATTCATCCATACTCTACCTTATACCAAATAGCATTTGGGGTAAAGAGGAAGCTTTACCCCAACAGAGCAAGACATAAAAAGACATGATGAGGAGACAAGCTAGGGAAACTCAGAAGATGTCAAGGTCTTTGTTCTACAAGCTCCAAGTCTCCGACTGGGCTCCAAGCTTTCTGCAGCCATGGAGAGGGGAGAGGGAGGTGCGCGGGGGGGGGGGGCGCAACACGGATCTCCTCCCATTGTTGATGTTTGTCACATAAACATAAATCAAAATAGACAAAAGACCTTCAAAAGCACAAGTTTTCCTAGTTTCAGGTCCCCAAAACAAATGCCCCAAGTGGCATATTAGAGAAGCTTGAATGTAAAGAAAAGTGGAGCAGAATAACTAACGGGGCTTTGTCCTGCTGGCTCCCCAGTCGGCAGCCCCAACACAGCCTGGCCAAGGTGGCTCTGGGGGATGTGGAGGACTGCAGTTAGTCTAGCCTCTCCGCTGAGCCATGCGACTGTCCTACACTGCCTTTCTTGAGCCTGTGCAGATCTGTAGTGAGTGTGAGGGAATGAAGGCAGAGGCAGAAGAAATGAACCCAAATTGGTTGCAACAGAAATCTCAGTGATTCTTTAGGAGCTTGGTAGCTGAAGCGGCTTCAGAATTGTCCCAAGGAGAGCTAAAAGGGCCTGGCCTTGTAGCCCCTCCCCATCTGCCTGTCAGTGGCCACCAGCCAACCTTGAGGAGGTGTTTAACCCTCCATTAAAGCAGGGAGGGAGAGGGCTATCAGATACTGCCAATGGGCCTTTGGGTTCAGCATTCATGACCACTACCTAGTAATCAGTAGACAACCTTCTAGCACTGAGCTCAGAGAGACTTAGGTATCCTCCAGTACCAGGCACCTTGGAATATAAGGCATATAGCGTTTGCTCTGAAGCCCTAAAGCTGTACCTTTTGTCACAGATAACAATAACCTGTAAAACTGTGTTAAACACTTGTCTACACACACACACACACACACACACACACACACACACACACACACATCCTGAAATAAAAGCTCCAGAAAGCACCAGCTTTAGCGGGATGGCTACTTCCTGGTAACCACGCCAAAGTAAACTGTTTGCTGAGCATACAAGGACAAGGCAGAATCGGGACAGTTGGGTGGTGCTGCTAACAGGAAATCTGCAGAGGTTAGAATAGAAGATGATAACATCTTAAACACGGACTTTGTAAAGTTTGCCGGCAACAGGGTGAGATGAGAGGGTCGGGGGATTTAGGATGAAGCTGAAATGACTTGTGGGGGGGAGAGGAGATCAAGTGGGAGGCTGGTGAGTCTGAGGACTAGAAGCCCAAGGGAAGGAGACGAGGGGCTACAGCCTTAACCTGCAGGAGACTGAAAGCACCCCTGCTCCTCAGCAGGGCGAGGCTCCAGCTGTACGTGAACCAGCTCCGCAACCTTGTAGATGGTGTTTTCCTGGACTGAGGTTCAGAGG